CCCCTTCCTTTCCTTAATTTCATTTTCCTTACTAAACATGCCTTAGAAGATTACAATTTGCAAACCAATACAAAAACCATCAAGACCCCTCCATTAAAATTTGCAACTATTGAAGAAGAAAGAAATGCAAAGGACCCCATCAAGAACAAAGATCAGTAACTAGAATTTAAAATTTAGATATCAAATTCAAAAATTGAAAATGATGTGGTTACAATGACTCGTGACATTATAAGTTTACAATATGATATATCATTATACATTAGTTCTTTTCATTTATGAGCTCATTTATAATATTATATACATTAACTTATTTAATGACATATTATATTTATAAGCTAATATTATAACTATAGCATTGTCATTCAAAAAACTTAACATTCAAATTCAATTTGGTTACCTTCTAAATTGGTAAAGGCAAAGAATTTGAAAACTGTATAGCTTTAAACTTTTGTTTGGGTTGAGAGAGTTAAGAGGAAAGGGGAGGAGAGTGAAGAACTCTTTTCTCTCTCTTGTTTGGATAAAGTCATTAAGGAGGGAGATAGAGGGGGAGGTGGATGAAGAAGGGACGAACACTCTCCAAATCCTTTATTTTTAATTCCTTCAATTTGGGGGAATTAAGAGGGATTCAATTTACTTTTATTTTATTTTCACTTTTTTTTAAAATGTAACTAAAATTTCTATTTTAACTTTAATTTTAATATATAACTTTATAAAATTTTAATTAATTTTATAATTATTTTTCTTTAATTTAGTTAATTAAATACAAAATATAATCTTCCCCTCCCTATCCTTCTTCCTTTTTAATATATTCAAACAAAATTAATATTAATCCTTTATTCTCTTTTCCTTTCCTTCTCTTCCCTTCTCCTCCCTTTCTCTAACTTTATTAATTTTTATCAAAACATATCCTAAGTAAGTGCTCTATTGCAAATTAAGTAGACTGATGGGATTGGAAAAGAGAAAATTGAGGAGGAGTTGTGAGCAGTTACTTAACGAGAGAAAAGGGAGGGAGGGCAGTTGAAAAAAAAATGCAGCTCCAGTAATGCATAAAATGCAAATGAAGATGGGCCTTTATTTAAAGAAAATAAAGTAGCTTGTAGATGCAGCCCAATACCAAAGTCTGCAATGTCCACCAACAGGGCCACATATCCGGTCCAAGCGCGGCTGCGTTATCTGGGCCTCTTTGCCCTTCCATTATTGACTGACAATGAATGTCATCTGCATTCCCCATGTCAACCATCGCTCTAAATGACGGTGCATGAACCACACTCCTAACCAAAGTAACCCACCAATTGTGGTTTAATTAGTAAGGTGATTTGGTTTTTATTTTATTAACTAAAGTTGAATTTTTAAAGGAGGTTAATGAAAAATGTAATTTTTCATGAATTTCTTAATTTTAATAGAAATGATTTACTTTTAATCAAACTAAAAAAGAATTAAGTTTAAATTATACATAAATTAGTCTCAAGGCGAAGACACATTGACCGCTAAATTTTTTTTTTTTAAAAAAAACCACCCTCTAAATGTTACTTGTGAAATTACATTTAGGATGACGTTGAGATGTGTTGAGAATTTTTTTTTAATATGTAATGGCACAAATTAAAAATATAATTAATATATTTTTTAAGAAAAAAAAATCGGAATGTTCTGACATTAAAAATGTCAAGATGATTAATAATAGTCACATAATGAATTTGATAAAATTAGAGCTCACACTATACTCCACACATTTAATAGAATTGAATATCTTAACACTTTTAATGTCAAAACATTCTAATTTTTTTCTTTTTTTCTTTTTATTTTTTAATCGTTAAATTACATACAAAAATAAAGTTTAACTTTAATTTTATCAACTAATAAATTAAATTAATATAGTATGACTCAGAACTAATAAAACCTTTTGTTTTAAATTAAATGGCTGAAGGAGTGATATGTTATTTAAACATAAGGAAAAAATTATGACTCAGAACCAACATGCATCCTTATATAAATGAGTTTGTGTTAGTAAGTGCCTTGGAGGATGTTTTAGTAGTTAAGAACTTGAATTTTATATTAGAGATTTCAAGTTTGAATTTTAAAATAAGTGGAAAAGATTATTTCTTATTATATAATCTATCATTTGATGTAAAAAAAAATTAATATTTATAATTTTGTTGTGTCAAAAATTCAAACATTTTGAATGTGAACTTTGATAATAATTATTTTCTTTTTCACAAAATTAGGAAGGGTGGCATGACTGATGTTCTTGTGGTTTCGTTTTTCACCAAACAAAGGCGGCTAGATGTGTAATTTAGAGACCAGACCGCTTACCATTCATACAAATCAAAAAGTACTGTTGCTGTAGTTTCTTCGAAGTTGGCCAAAACAATACAAATCACGAAATTTGGTGATGTTGCTTTCTATCCTTGGCAAATCAAGCAACATTTTCCATCGTTCATTAGGAATATTGTTAGGTCCCTTGTTAAATCATAAAGAAAAAATTTTTGTTGTGCAATCTAAACTACACAACAAATATCATTAAGTGAGGAGTGGGATTTTTTTATATTGAAGGTCCCATTTAATTATATCTATTTTGTAATGTAATGCAATTTTATACTATAACATAAGAAACCCAATCATAAATGGGCAAATTAAAACTTACATTGAGCCTTTTATCTTAATAAATTTATAAGTTTTAGCTTCTTACCTTATATTATGACACTTTTAACATTTTACCTTAATAAGTTTATAAGTTTTAACCTCTCATCTTATATTATGACCCTTTTAACCCTCATCTATATGAATTGAAGAAAATAGCTTTCACTTAACATCAAGTTATAATGTTTTGTCAATTCTGCTAGTTTTGTTAATTTTGTTAGTTAATTGTTAACTATTCGGAGGAGAAGAATAGGTTAGCATGGTTGAGTTGGGAGAAAGTATGTAGGGGGAAAAAAGAGGGAGGTTTAGGAGTACCAAATCTTGAGTGTAGAAATATAGCTTTGTTAGGGAAGTGGTGGGACAAATTTGGGAAGGAAGAGAACAGCTTATGGAAGACAGTTATTTCCAATAAGTATTACGGTGGCGACATTAAGTGGGATATCAAACAATTTGAAGTTAGGAAATTACCTTCCTTATGGGGGCATATTGTGGCTCTAGGTAATGAGGGGGGTAAAGGCTCATGGGTATTTAGGGACGGTTTCATTTGGAAGTTGGGGATGGGTGACAAAATTAAATTTTGGTATGATAAATGGGTAGGAATAGATTCTTTGAATGTCTCATTTCCTAGATTATTTAATTTCGCTTCTAATAGGGATGCTAATGTTATGGAAGTGGGCCAAATTTCTAATGGCTTATGGATTTGGAGAAATGCATGGAGACGTGAACCTTTTGGCAAGGAAAGGAACGAAGAACAAATGCTAAAGGAAAGCCTTATAGGTGGGATCGCATTCTCTACCCAACCTGACCAAAGAATTTGGAGCTTTGATATCGCAAATGGATACACAGTTGGCAATGCTTACTCAATGATGGCTAGACAGAACAGTATTTTGGAACCAAGAATCTGCATAAGGCTATGGAACAGATTAGTACCAATTAAAATAAGTTGTTTTGGTTGGCGCCTTCTTCTTAATGGTCTCCCAACAAAATATGGTGTATTGAAGAGGGGTGTCAAGTTGGAAGAAGCAGAAACTATCTGTTGCATATGCAGAAGGGACCTCGAGGATGAAAATCACTTGTTCGTTCAATGCCCAAAGGTATAGAGCCTATGGATGAAATGCTACAATTGGTGGGGGATTTCTCTACCCCTGCCCAACTCCATTCCCCTTCTTTGTGAAGCTCACAGCTCAGGGATCAAAAAGGTGGTAAAATTTGATGTCTGGTTCCTCATATTCTTGGTGGTCACATGGTCCATATGGTATACGAGGAACTCTATTATCCACAATGCACAACAGTGGGATGAGGGTAAGGCTTTTGATTTAATTCAAAGGAGGACCTTTGTATGGATAAGGGGGAAGACTAGAAATTCTTTGTTTTTCTTTTTTCATTGGTGTAACTCCCCTAGTCTATGTGTCCAAAAAATTACTAGAAGTTAGTTTTGCATAGGTTTTCAGTCCCTCTTATTTTGATTTGGCTTAGAGTGCCTTAACTATTATTATCCTATAAGGTGTTTTTGAGATTATGGGTGGAGTACCCCTTGTACTCCGTATTATAATATATATTTTGATTCATCAAAAAAAAAAAAAAAAAAAAAAAGGCAAACACATGCCTCTTGCAAAGGTTAACCCTAAGTCCAAAGATTAATTTGAACCACCCAAGAAGAGCCTTTACAACCTAAATTTTTTCTACAGCTATGCCTTCCCATAATTATTGTATCGTTTGCGAATTGAAGAAAGGACACTACTAACCCTCTTCTACAAACCTTAATCCCTTTTAGTAAACCCTCATCTTCTATTGTCTTAACCATCTCGTGGGGCACCTTTGCCACCAATAAAATTAAGAAAGGTGATAATGGGATCTCCCTTCCTCAACCCCTTACCCACACTAAACACTTTTATTTGGCTCACATTATCCAAAATTGATACCCTTGCATTTGGCAAACACTCCCTAAACATCTATTATCCAATCTAAACCAGATTAATCCATGCAATCATTAGCCTTCGAAATCCACCTAAAAGTGAAGCATAATGAGAACCCATGTGGTTAGCACCTATGCAAAAATCAATTTAACATTAAAATTTTGGTGTACCCCAAACATGAAAGAAGGTTAAAATATCAATTTAGTCCCTCAACTTTCAAATTTATACTAAAATTATAATTAAACTTTAATTTTTAATACCCAAAAAGTTTTTTTGGTAATAAAAGTATCACGTAACTAGTTATTTTGTCATAAAATCAGTTTTTTTAAATACTAATGATGTATAAAATCACAGTTATATTTTGCCATAATGATATGTTTCTATTTACAAATCTGATTGATATATAATCAAAGTTAAAAGGTTAAATTGATATTTTAATCAAAGTTAAAAGACTACGATAGTAATTGTCTTTAAAATTTAAGGACTAAATTAGTATTGTTTTCAAAGTTTAAGAACTATTTTGGTACTTAAAATTAAAGTTAAGGAACAATTTTGATATAAATAAAAAAATTGAGGGACTAAATTGGTATTTTAACTCACGAAAGAATAGCAAGGCAAATCCCTTTGTTTTTCGATTTTATCTTTCCAATTTTGGTCCAAGTTTTCCCTGTAATAATGTAAGAAAGAGAAATAATATGAAAGAAATACAAAGTGGCCCAATTTAGTATAAAATACAAAAGTTCGGCCCAATCTAGTATGAAATAGAAAGTTCCAATTAACAATTCTAAGTTCGCCCAATTTAGTATGAGATTGAGAGAAATAGCAAGACCAATAAGTCAATTTCCATGCTGAAAAAAAATAGCCCAATTCCTAGGTCTGCCAGAAACAAGGGCTACAACGTCATCTGCGTTCCCCATGTCAAATGACAGTGCATGAACCACACTCCTATATATTACATTGTAATATGGAAAAAACAAACTAATATTGCTAAAATATTTGTCTTAAAACTTATTTTTTTCTTCTGAGCTGCGGATGCACGATGATTAAGGCTTGTGCTACCTGCGCCATCTTTGTTAAAAACTTAAAATTTGGCCTCATTATCAACTCCAGTAGATGAGCGTATTTTGGTAGCAAAAGAGGTTTTTATCTTGCACAAATTATAACTATTGATAGAGGGATTGCATTTCACTCACAATTAATATTACCAATAAGGCAATAACAATCCTGCTGATGAGCACAACCATGCATTTAGCTAAATACTTTCGAGGATTACAGTATATCTTTTTCTCCATATATATTGGAGGACATATATTTCTTGACCCAGTGAATTTGCAACCTACGATATAATGGAGACAGCCCTAACATGGTGGCATGTCAGGTGGTGGTGGTAACAGTTTGGTCTCCGGAGATTTGCCATTTTTAACAATGAATACTGTATCCATGCCCCATGTCACATGTCAATCGAGACGACAATACCGGAACCATACTCCTATTCAAGAAGAAAAAGGAAAAACAGAAAAAACAAGTGAATGACAAAAAGAATAATAATAATTTTAAAATGAGTTAAAATATTTCTTGTACTACTCCGTGTTTTAATTTATTTTATTTTGATTATAAGAAAGATACATACCAGGATTGTCAGCTCGGAACCTAATGGTGGTCCAGCCATTTTTAGGGACATGCACAGTGTTTTGAAGAAGAGGATCAACTAAATTATTCCTTGAGGGATCTTTGTCCTTGTCAAAATTCCCTAAACCCATCCCCACAACATAAAAACTGAAGCCATGACGATGGATTGGATGGTCACTCCCTCTAAGCAAGAATGTTCCCTGGAAAACAAGCTCCACTGTGGAATTGTATTCCAGTATCTTTGCTTCCCTCCCAAGTTTCAGAAACTCCAGGTCCGTTGGTAAATTTGGGGCAGTGAAGTCATAAATAACGAAGGAAAAGAGGGAAATTGGGTCCCAAACACACTAGGAATGCCGTAATAGTAAGCTTGTAATATATCAATGTTAGGATTGAGGAAGCTTATGTTGTTCACACCATTGTTTTAAAACTCGGTCCGGTTCGGTCGGTTGAATCGGTTCAATCGGACCTAGACTTAAAAATGGGCAGAGTGCATGCTTCGGCTCGTTTTGAGAGTTGGCCCGTCCAAACCCGTTCGACTCGTTCGACCCGCGCCAACCGCCCAACCCGTTCCACCCGTCAGGCACCACCTCATCTCCTTCGTGAGCAGCCGCAGCAAACGTAGCCTGGTCTCCCTGCTTCACCTCCATCGAAACCAAGAGTCCATGGTAACAGACCTGACAAGAGAAATATAGATGCCGAGACCACGGTGCTTGTCGGAGCACTCCAAACACATGAAGATGCCATAGGAGACCGTAGCCCATTGCAAATTCTTTTGGGCACAGTCGACGCAGATCTTGTTCCCTGGTTGAGGTTAGAGGTCATGCAACCGTCTTGATGCCGCCATCTGAATCCGATCTCAACCGATTCTTGGAGATTGAAAACAAAGAGGATAGATCAAGCTCCAGAAAAAAAGGATCAAAAGAAGGATATAAAACAAGATTCAAAAAGATTTTATTCAATTTTATTTTTTTAGAAAAAGGGGTTAAATTGGGGGGAAGAGGAAGATTACTGACATTGTTAAAATGGTTGAGGAGTGTGGGGATGATTGGGGATGGTGATAGATGCACGTGTTAAAAATAGGTAATTTTGGGTTGTTGTGCAAAGTGAAATGGCCTAAATTTAACATTTAGTCCATTAGTTATAGGTTTATTATCATTTTGGTTTAGAAAGTTTATTTTCTCTCAAATTGGTCTATGAACTTAAAAAAAAAAAGCATATCAAAAGTCAAAATAATTAAGTTGTAGGTATTTAATTAAATTTATTATTTTAAATTACTTAAATGATAATTTTTAAGTTGATTTTATGATAATTATTTCTTAAAAATAGAGTGAAAATAATATACAAGAATAAAATTTAATATAAACATAAAAAAATAAGAGTTTTTCTTAATTGATCGGTTGAACCAGTCAAATGAACCAATTTAACCGATTGAACCAAATCCAATGGCCAAAATAGGTCAATCATCGGACCAGACCCAAAAACTCTGGTTGACACTGGCTAAGAGTCTCGTCTCATCCCCTACACATGAAAATTTTTTATATAAGCTAAACAAAATAGTTTTTATTATGGGAAAACAAATCCTTTTAAGCCAAAACTTTTGGGACCTCACACTTTCATCTTGAATCTTTAAAACTAAATAATTGGTTCCTTAACCTTTTAACGGTTAGATTTTTTATTTTTTAAAATAGTAACAATATTCAGGTTGACTAATTATAAGTGTAGCTATAAATCATCCCTATCTAATGATATTATACAAATATTTTTTTTTCGATCAGCTAAATAAAATTATTTATTTATTTTGGAGTACAAGGGTACTCTTACCCTTGCTTATAACAATTACATCAAGTTTCAGTGAAGCTCTCCATCTACATCATATTTTCTTTCTACCCCAACTACCTGACTATCTCACTGTCTTTGCACAACCCAATGGGTTGCAATTCCAGTCGTGTATAGAAAATAGGCTTCCTTTTGATCTATCCTTCAACCACAAAAACGATTTACATTGAATTGACTTTGTTGGAAATTAGATCCTATTATTTAGCAATTATCTCAATATTTTAGGAAGTTTAAGTTATTTATTTGTTTTAGATTGTTATCATTTAAATTAGATTAAATAAGATTGATTAGTTATTCTTTTAGATAATATTATCTTGTAAAGCCTATTTAAAGGTTGGATTATTTTCAGTTTAATGAGAGATTCAGTTTTTCATTCCATCTTCTTCTTTTCGGGAATCTTTGATTTTTTAACATTTGGTATCAGAGCCTATTCTTGGAAAATTCCATGGCTTCCAAAAATTATGTCCAGCCCTCAATCCCTCGTTTTGATGGTCATCACTATGACCATTGGAGTATGTTGATGGAGAATTTTCTCTGGTCCAAAGAGTATTGGACTATTGTTGAAGTTGGAGTTCCAGAACCAGCAGCAGGTGCAAATGATGCACAGAGGGCAGAAATTGAGAAGGAAAAATTGAAGGATCTCAAGGCTAAGAACTATTTGTTCCAAGCCATAGATTGGGCTATCTTGGAAACAATTCTTAA